AGCCTTACGCGCCGGCCGCGCTTTACTCCCCAGGAAAATTATTTAATTAATTCCTGTTACTCATTTCTGTTAGAGGCTGAGTCGACCCCAGGGTCACAGTACAGCTGGAAGGATTAGGTCAATTGAAAAAATCCAATGACCTCATCAGGACTTGAACCCGCGACCGTCTCGCTTGTACGTAGCATAGTGCCTCAACCAACTACGCTACCGCGTGCCCATATCGACTGAAAATACAACGTTTTGATAATTTTAGAGAAACAAGTATCCCAATAAAATCTGTGAATTCTCTCTGCTTTGTTAGGCCCCGTGGCGATAGCCCATCTCGTTCCGCCATAAATCCGACTCTGAAGGGTGCCTAATACAAACATTTTAGAACCCTGAATTTTTGTATATTTTAGCCATGTGTTTTTCGTACATGCGGGCACGTTTTATTCTTCATTTTAATCCGAGAGTTAAAAGCACGAAAGTGTTACACATCTTAACCACGTGCACACGGTTGGAGAAACCTTTCGGGACTTAACAGCCACGGCTGTCTTGCTACTTCGTGCGTAAGATCCGAGCGCATGTTCAGGAACAAGACGAACTACTTCCCGTCCGCATTATATAATCCTGTGTTGTTATACTTTCAAGGGTCGTGAATCGCGAGCCGCTGTGATGAAGAGTTTCTGCTTCTTGCTAGCACCTTAATTTTCCTCAGATATCTCTTGGGGTGGGGGGAGAGCAAACGATATATTGTCACTTATCGGGGGTTGCGTGATTAATAATAATGGGTTCTAGATTTGATGATTGGATTTGTTGGCACTTCTTTACAATTACAGTCCCTTACAACAGCTCACAGTCGATGACTGAGACTCGCTCCATTCCTTACTGGATCATGTGTCTTCTCTTCCGCTGTAAGTGACTTGGTTCTGATTTACGAGTCGGTCATCTCTTCAGCTTCCGTTATCCGCTGGTTAACACTCCACAGCTGAACACTCAACTATTGAAATGTCTCCTGAATTCTCTTACGAATGACTATCTTGAATTCACGATTGGACACTCTTTTATAGCTTCTGGAGGACCGAATAGAGGCCACAACCTCGAACAGGTAATTGTCATTCTCCCGTTGTCACTCTAATATCTTTGTTAATATCCGTTGCAGCAGGAAGGCTTGCTAGCGAGCCGTTGTCTAACAAATGGACTTAACTTGTTCGTTGCTATTGCGGCTTTCAGACGGTGTTTACCCAACGGTTGCAAGGCAAATGGTCGTATTCATGAACCGTTGAGATAACGAGTACTACTAGGACCTTAGTTTTTCAGATATGTCTCTTTTTGGCGCTGAGGGAACTAATTATATATCTACTAGGTTCAGTCGGTATAGCGACTGGGTTACGGGCTAGAAGACAAATTGGGGTTCGATTCCCGACAGGACAAGGGAGTTCTCTCTTCTCTATAGCGTTCTGGCATCAGTGTAGAGCTGACCGCTCACCTCCATCTAGTGCTGAGGTTAAGAATGTGTGCAGCTGTACCTCCCCTCCCCCAGTCATCTTCTTGCCGTGGTACTTAATTAAGCACAGGGGCAACTTCCATGTAGCTGTGAGGTAGAAGAACGTCAGGCTCTGTGGGGACAGTTGCCTTACGGGCAAGACATGTGAAGTCAGTTCCCTATCAGCAGACTTCCCGCCTTGCAATTCTTGCGTTTTCATAGATTACAGCGTCTCTTATCTACACACAAAAGAAGAATAGGGAATATCAATCCTCGCACCCAAAGTTTTTGGGTTTCTATTTACAGCCCTTCGGAATTCACATGCGATTCCCTTCACGCCGAATTTCGTTTCGAATTATTATGAATTTAAAATTCCCGAAACCTCAACTGGTTACCTGACCAGCAAACATGCGGCTCTGATGTCGATATGGGTGCAATGTTTCAGGTATGTCTGTAGTCAAATATTGTAAATTCTGTAGTATTGCATATACTGTTTAGAAGTTTTTAATTCTTACACCACTTTTTGCATGAGCCAGGATAGCGTACTTGGTATAGGGACTAGCTACCGGCCGGACGACTGAGGGGTCAGACTTCGAGTCCCGATAGGCTCAAGAATTTTCTCTGTTCCACAGCATCCAGACTGGCTCTTGGGCCGACCCAGCTTTCTATCCAATGGCTACAGGGGGCTCTTTCCCTGAGGGTAAAGAGGCCGGGGCGTGAAGCTGACCACTCACCCCCAACTGGTTCCGAGGTCAAGAAGATGTGGTTCTATACTCCCACTCCCCCATACGCCTTAATGACGTAGTGCTTAATTAATTAAGCACAAGGACAACTTTGCCTTACCTTTACGGCCCTTTTTACGCTTCCGGCCGTCTTCACGTCATGGCCGAGTTTGGTTCGTGGTTCAGAACTTGGCCCTGAGACCAGCTGTATTGATTGCGTTGGTACCAAAAACTAGGCCATAAGTTTTGAGAGAGTAAATAATAAATAGTGATATTATGTTTTAACGTCGTCTTTATTGAAGTGTACTGCACGTGTCGTAGACTTCTTACATAACACTCCGCTACACAACCGTGAATGTTGTACGTAAGCTCTTAGGTTTCGGCCGGTGATTGCATAGTGAGAGACATCTGGTGAAGAAGTTGGTAATGAATCTTATACTGTTTCGATGTACCGATGTCAGGTCGCTGTCACATTCTTCACAGTTTATTGTCCCCTACATATTAGAAATGCGTTACTGCATAAATTTTGAGTTTATATTTACAAACATAAAAAAACTCACACTCCGTGGTTTTAGTCCGCAAGCGAACTATACCGACCGAGGGACCGCAGCTTGTCGTCGAAGTTAGTGCCAAATGTAGCCGATAGAGGGTGTCGTGTGGTTAGCGCAACGGATCCCCACGGCCGTTAATTTACGGTTTGCTAGACCGGAGCCGCTATTTCCTTGCAGTAGCTCCTAAATTATCCTCACGAGGCTGAGTGGACCCCATTCCAGACCCACTACTTCTCAGAAAATCTGATAGCGCTGGGAATGGAACCCGGGACCTCTGGATCTGTAGCCAGGAACCCCTGACCACTAGACCACAGAGGCAACCGAGTTTATAGGTACTCCTCATTTAATTTAATCATGTGTACGGAGGTAGTTCAAGGGGTTCTGTAACCGGCAGAGTCCATGTTGATTATCATGACAAAATGTGCAGCTCACGCGACTTATTCGCAGTAATTGTATTCACTAAGCCCAGATGTCAGATTGGTGCCAGTATAGCTACTAGCCTGCAGG